TGTCACGCTATAACAGGAAGTACCTGAACAAGGGCCTTCATGACAGGATCACAGGGGATTATTTCAAAAAACATTGGAGATTTCAAAATATTGAAAATGGCTTTTTGAAATAACAGTAATATGTTAAAACATAAATAGGTTTTAGTATCTGTGTTCTCAAATGCTTTAATAAACAGTTTCACTAAAGCCAATCTTTACTGAAAATGGCCTTAACCCCTTTGTGACCGCAACTTTATAAGTCCAAATGTCAGATGTCCCTCGGGATGAGAACGCTATAAGCTTGCAGCAGGGAACGTGGAATGCACAACTGTGTGTGTTCCTAGTTCTCAGACTGTCAAACACACAACTTAGTCATAGAGATATTGTCAGCTTAACCGACGCTTACTGACGCTGCTAAACGTGGTCTGGGCATTTCAGTTTCAAAGAATCCTTTTGTTGAAAGAAACACATTGCCCCCCCTAGGTTATTCCTTGCCCCCCAAGCAGTGGCGACTCTAGGAACAATATATAGGGGGGGCACATAAGATACCACAGTCAAAATGGTGGGGGGGGCACTAATACTTTTCACCACTAAATCATACCACTGAAAAAAACGAAACAAGTATATATAAATAAGATTACCAAATACGAGAGTAATGCGGTATGCAATGATACCTTTTTATTGTACTAGCCTAATACTTAGAAGACAAGCTTTCAAGAGTTTTTCTTTCTTCCTCAGGTATTGCTTCAGACTTGAGAAAGAGAGGAAAACTCTCAAAAGCTTTGCAATTTCAGCAAACAGCAGGGCTGTGTAAATAATCACCAATAGCGACAGAGGACTACAAACTGCAGCAATACATTATACAGAAAAGCAGAATATCACCAGCTATAGAGGACTACAAATCCCAGCAATACATTATACAGACAAGCAGAATACCACCAGCTATAGAGGACTACAAATCCTAGCAAAACATTATACAGTAAAGCAAAATGCCCCCAGCTATAGAGCACTACAAATCCCATCAATACATTATACAGCCTTGCGGAATAATACCATTAGCTATAGAGGACTAGAAATCCCAGCAAAACATAGAGCAATGCAGAATAATAGTATATACATTTGCCACATACTCTGTGCTGCGGCTCTACTCTGGGGTTCTGGTCTAATGTATTGGGGTATTGGGCTGAGCTTGTCAGGAGGGTCTTAGTAAGGGGAGATGTGCGGGTGGCAGAAGCGCTGTATGCAGGCATTGCGTGGCTCCCCAGAAGGCTGCCACAAGGTCCCCAGCCGGACCTAAGACACCCAAGTCAATTTGAAAAATGTAAGTGCTGGTATTGGTTTTTAGTATTGGGACAGAGGTCAGTTGTAACGCAGAGTGCATTGGTCAATAATGTATCCCAGAGTGCAGAGCTCAGTAATGTAACACAAAGTGCAGAGGACAGCAATGTAACGCAAAGTGTGGAGGACAGCAATGTAACGCAGAGTGCGGAGCTCAGTAATGTAACACAAATTGCGGATGACAGCAATGTAACGCAAAGTGTGGAGGACAGCAATGTAAAACAAAGTGCGGATGACAGCGATGTAACGCAAAGTGCGGAGCACAGCAATGTAACACAAAGGGGTTTATTTACTAACCTTATAAACACACCACGAACGTGTATACACCTCTGCAGTGTGTTCCCTCCCAGCATGATCTATGGGTGGAATCTAAACACCTTTGTAATGTGTACACACCCAGCAGGTGTGTTGTGCAAAGCCCTGAAGGAATTCCAAGGTGATGTTGGGTAAATTAGCTCTACATTGTGTTGCTTGCGTTGATGAATGCAGGAATGTAAATGCATGAGCTAACCATTTTTGTCTAAACTGTGAAGCAGCATTATATATGCATCATGTGCATGATTTTTCCATATATGGCATTAGTGGAAATATGCTTTTAGAGACTTTTTGGTTGATAAATACGTTTTGCTGTGTGAAAATCACACACACCTGGTGTGTGTGTGTGTGTTTAGGTTAGTAAATCACCCCCAAAGTGCGGAGGACAGCAATGTAACGCAAAGTGCCGAGGACAGCAATGTAACGTAAAGTGCAGAGGACAGCAATGTAACCTAAAGTGCGGAGGACAGCAATGTAACGCAAAGTGCCGAGGACAGCAATGTAACGTAAAGTGCAGAGGACAGCAATGTAACGTAAAGTGCGGAGGACAGCAATGTAACGCAAAGTGCCGAGGACAGCAATGTAACGTAAAGTGCAGAGGACAGCAATGTAACGTAAAGTGCGGAGGACAGCAATGTAACGCAAAGTGCCGAGGACAGCAATGTAACGTAAAGTGCGGAGGACAGCAATGTAACGTAAAGTGCAGAGGACAGCAATGTAACGTAAAGTGCGGAGGACACACCCCGGCTACACCGATTAGCAGGGAAGCCGTCCCCATCTTCTCGTCACTAGGTTACGAGAAAGCATGGAGCCGGCTTTCTGGCCAATCAGGAAGCCAGGCGCTGTGTAATGACCTGGCGCCCGGCTTCCTGATTGGCCTCATCATGAGGTGACAAGGGAGTATGAAGCCTGCCTCCTGGCCAATCAAAAAACCAGGCGCCGCATCAATACAAGTTGCCCAGCTTCCTGATTGGCCAGCTTCCCGACCAATCAGGAAGCCGGCCAGCGAATCAATACACGCTGCCCGGCTTCCTGATTGTTACAAATGGTGTGTGAGCATGGAGCTGACTTCTCGGCCAATCAGGAAGCCAGGCAGCCTATAATGACTCGCTGCCTGGCTTCCTGATACCGGAAATATCAGGCTAGGCATCGGAGCATTTGAGTACTCGCCCAAATACTCGGTATCGGTGCATCCCTAGTTCTAGGTGTCCTTCTACATATAGATTAAAGACAAAAAGCCCTCCTAACAATGGCCAGCCAAACAAACAAGCACATCAGACAATCAACCCAGGTAGAAAGCTCAAACTGTCCATAAAGAGTGGCTTTAACGTGACCCATGAGTCAGAGGGAACAAGTACAACACCTGAGGAAAAGAAGATTGCAATGAGAGATTATCTCAGTTAGTCACGATAGACTTAACAACGGCTCACAGTGTTTCTTCTTCCTTGTTACCTTGTTGGTAGGATCTTCATAATTGCTCTCAGTAATCACTGAGCATTGTGTGAATGGACATAGAGAAGGATTAGTATCTTGGCTTCATTAATATTTTTTAGATGTAGTGTAATGTTCTTTGTGTGAATTATGTATTTAAAAAATCATAATAATCATAAATCATTTATGACTCTAGAAAACAGGATGTAGCAGGATTTTCACTTTCAATACACATCTAAATATGAGTAATAATGACCAAGGACAGGTTTTATATGTTTTATAATTGCTGTTATCAGCATATTGTAGCAAACAGTATGGTCTGTTTGACCCTGTAGGACTCACCTATGGACCGGTTCTCCCAGAGATTAGTCAGCTGCTGCAGTTTGACGTTGTTTTTTTGGTTTTACTGCTATTTGTCCTCCCTTCACAACCTTGGCCAAATGAGCAGGCAAGATTAACAAATATTGGTATGTGAATCATGTAATGTGATATTCTGTATGATATACAGATGTTCCTCACTTACCGACTTACCTGTTTTGCGACCACTCGCACTTACGACGGAGCGCCGATCGACCTCCGACCTTGCGCGTCAGCGTCAGTGCGCCGTGTCGCCGGCGGAAGTGGTGTCCTCCGATCTTCATTGCGGGTCCTGGTAAGTATTTTCATTGCCTGATGTACAGTACACTGTTCGTTACTGTACATCGGCAACGCAATACAGTACTGTACTAATGCAGTACAGTACTGTATAGAGTTCCTCACTTAACGACCAATCCGTTTAACGACCTGGTCGTAGGAACGGAACTCGGTCGTTAAGTGAGGAATACCTGTATTGAGTGTATTGGTCACATATACGTATATTTATTGTTACAGATTCTCATATATATCTGCATATCTATTTACATAGAGCATCCCAATCTCTTGAGGAAGCCCCTACTTTCTTGGGTGCGAAACACGTCGAGGGTTAATGACACCCTGTGATACCTTGGCTTCATGTTAACTTCTTTATTATATGGACTGTGTCAACATCTTCTGGATAGCCGTTCAACATTGTCCGTATCAAACTAAGGGGTAATCATCTAGGATGCTAGCCATATGAGGAAGGACGGTTTTATATTGTTGCGATTTTTTCTTAATGTATCAATAAAAATGAAATTTTTATATATCTATGTGACGTGACCATGAGCTGTGTTTTTGATACCGAAAAAAGCCACTTTTTCCTTCGTTATTTTTTATCTTTCCAGAGATTATCATATGTCTTTCTAAGTGAGTTATTATGATATGCCAGTGTATGATCATAACATGCCTCCATTATTGTGAAAACCAAACATCTACCTATTCCATGTAGTACTAGAAGATTCTACTCATTTGCATTGTGAATTTTCTGTCACAAATGAGCAGCTTTAGACTTTACACAAACCACATTGATGGGAAGTAATGCAACACTCATACATGAAATGGTCGTTGGCCATTATAGGTTGGATCAGAAAACAATTGAATATCCATTGGCTGTCCCTACGAGATAATACCTACATAGTACAGAGGACGAACTGGTCAGCCAGAAGGGATTTCGCTAGTCAATTACTATTATTTCACTGAACACAGGTAGATGGTAGAAATCTATGATCAGTAAATAGGCTCCAAACATGTAGTTAATTCACTGACCAATGTGCACCGGCAAAAAATTTGCTTCAGTTTGTTTTTCGTTATTTCGATTTTCGGGACTCAGGTCCAAAAGTCGATTAATTTTGTAATTCGGACAAATCGTAATTTTTCGTTAATTTCAGAAGAGTTAAACGATAATTACAATATATTTTTTTAAAACTTTTGACAGTCCACAGGAACAATTAAAAAACAATTCAATTAAAATAGTGTGCGGTGTCATCCCTTGATTCTAATTGCAGCCTGGAAGAACAGGAAAAGGGAACGGGGAGAAAGTGTGCACCTACCCTCCTACTCCATACAAGGCCACATGCCCCCTGGCAAAGCACCTTGTCCCCATGTCGATGAGGGCCTCTTCCCCACAACCCTGGCCTGATAATTGTGGATACGTTGTGCAGTCGTTATTTCTTTCATTCGGAAATTTGGATGCGTCCGACTATGCTAATATTCGTCCGAATTTCAATTTGCAGAGAAACAAATCGCACATGTTTACTGACCAACTGTCTCCAATACATAGGGCCAAAGCAGCCTGGAAAACCTACAGGGGTATTCACAAAAGGTTGAGTAGTTTGGAGAAGGCAGGAGAAGTGAACAATCTAGGACAACATAGCTGATGTGGAAAAGTTCTCCAATTCAGCTCACTTTCCAGTTCAGCTATGTTGTCCTAGATTGTTCACTTCTCCTGCTCTCTCCATCCTTTTGTGAATAACTCTGTAGGTGTCACAACATGGATAGAGGTATTAGTAGATCCAGTTAGTAAGTTGATGTTTTCACTAAATTGCCCTGATATATTGATTTCACACTGGGCATATATAAACATAGAATACAGAAATAATATGTTGTCAATATAGAAAAAATATGTTGTTGTGGATAATGTCTCCCACTCTAAGTATTTTTATTTTCCCAATAAATTTTTTATTAAAGAGCAAACAAAGTACAATGGTTCATGAAACAATAATATATATCAGAGTTAAGTATTTTTTAAATTAATGTGAATTGATGAGATACTACTAGCTTTTGAAACATAATATGGCATAATTTCTTACATTGGTTTCTCAGTAAACAAAATGTGCTGCATCAGTTAATAATAAAAAAAAAAATCACAAAAAAAAATCAACATACTAAAAGATTCGAGGGGCAAAAAGCCATTCAAGCTTCTGTTACATACCAATCAACAAAAGGTCTTTCACTGACATTGAATTACATTAAATACATTTAATAGACAATGGTTCAAGCTGCGAGGAGATCTATATGTGTCTATTTGGTAACCCACAATTGTACTGTGTACAGTAATAGAGCTGATCTTCCATACAATACACAAAAGATCTTCTGTCTACAACTAGATAACAAAAACAATATAGACCCCAATGGACAGGAATGACACAAGTGGATTGCTGTGTGTGCCAAATGTAAGGATTCAACTATTCCAACAAAGTGCTGTGACAATCTGATCTTGTACAGTTGAGAAGGTTCACAACAGATCTTAGCCAACCACCTGGATATTGATTAGTTGGGTTGAAATATATGGGTGATCTCTTCTAATAAATGGAAATTAAATGGTGTGGTGTCTACAATCAAGGGAAACGGTTCTTAAACTGTTATCATACTTAGACGACTTTAAACCATGCCATAGATGAAGTTGGTCACCATGCTCTACTTACATACATTAACTTTTAGTAGTTACACATGATGGTGATTGGTGCACTCTGTATTAAAGACAAGCCTGTTGTTAAGATTCACACTGTATGTCACAAGTGACAGAATAACAGATGTGAAACAGCAGCACTGACTATTTTTTGCATTGTACAGGAATAATACGCTCTCCAATTGTTCCAACAGTCGAGGTCCTTCATGAGCAACCATTTCTGGTCCAAAAGAAAAACACTGCTAAAATATTAGTGCATTGTAGTCTCCTGAGGCTCCTTTGTGAGGAGCTAAAAATAACATCTTCTGCAGGAAATTCACAACAGATCTTAGCCAACCATCTGGATATTGAGTAGTTGGGTTGAAATATATGGCTGATCTCTTCTAGTAAATTGAAATAAAATGGTGTGGTGTCTACAATCAAGGGAAACGGTTCTCAAAGTTTTATCATTCTTAGACCACTTTAGACCATGTCATAGATGAAGTTGGTCACCATGCTCTACGTACATACATTAACTTTTAGTAGTTACAGATGATGGTGATTGGTGCACTCTATATTAAAAACAAGCCTGTTGTGAAGATTCACACTGTATGTCACAAGTGACAGAACAACAGATGTGAAACAGCAGCACTGACTATTTTTTTTGCATGGTACAGGAATAACATACTCTCCAATTGTTCCAGCAGTTGAAGTCCTTAATGAGCAACCATTTCTGGTCCAGAATAAAAACACTGGTAAAATAGTAGTTTATTGCAGTCTCCTGAGGCTCCTTTGTGAGGAGCTGAAAATAACATCTACTGCAGGAAATTATTTTAACAGGACAAGAGCTACAGAATGTCTTCAGATGGCTAAACATACATTAGTAATACGTAATACAGGGCTGCTTTTAAACCCATCTAGTACAGGAAATACACAGAACACTGGCCAGCAGTTGGCACCCAAGGCTGTTAATTATCCATCATGGTAAATTTGTATGTCCCTGTCCCACACTGTGCCCCATCCCTGAATACATTCAATTTACATCTAAAAGCAACTAAGATGTAGCCAAATAATCTTTTTTTCTATAGTGGTGTAAAACATTAAATCTGTCTAATGCGGATTGTGTGTTGTTATTTACCCACAGTCAATCAGAGGACAGGGATATGCTCACAGAGCACTGACCAGCATGAGAGCCAGTATCTGAAAAGAAAGTTAATTAAACAGACTTTGCTATTTCATTCTTTTCTACATAAAGATATTACATTTTATTCGTAGAAATGACAACCCTGAACTATTCATGACAGTTGTATTTTTTCCACTACTGATAGGTTCACTCCGCAGGCACTATTCTTCCAACAAACTTGGAAATGATGATACTTTTATCTTACCTTACTACATCAAAACTCTTTCAACAACTCGATATTCAAAACCAATAACAGAACAGCTTAGTTTGAGAAAAACTAAATAGTTCCATATGTGTGGCGATAGTTCCATGTTTGTACGTGTGTATTACTCTGGAGACTGAGGAAGTCTCTGTACTGATTGCAGAGATACTTGATGGGAATTAAAATGGCCTACTAGATCAGAGCATGCCTGGTTGGGTTGTGTGAGGTGACCACCCTGCCTGCCTCCCTAAGGAGGATCCTTCCTGGCCTTGCAGTCTCGCAATGTTTCCATAAGTGGCCTTAATAGCTTCATAACCTCAGCAGACCTGCATATCACTCACTGGCATTCAACTTCAACTTTCATGCACAGGCTCTTTACTTGCATGAGAACTGAAGAGGACTGAACAATTAACTTTTATTTCTCTTGTTTTGTCATGGAAACAGGTATCTCTAAGTGCACTGATTTTTTACAATCAAACTAAGTAGTAACATCTCAGTTTGTTTTTGCTCAATCCTTTCCCATGTGTTTTTCACTTTGCTCACCATCCAGGAGAGGCAGCAGCTAGAGAAGCCGCAACAGATACACAAAAAGACCCAGGAACCTCAAAAGGAACAATAGCTATAGTAACAGGTGGAAAGCAGGACCCAGGAAAGGTATACGAACAACAGCAGGAAATAAAACAAAAACACTCAAAAGGTGGACACACTGAGGATGGCCCACCATTGTCCAATCCACAGCTCCCTATGCCTGACTGTGCCACATAAGTGTAGCGCCTCCCTGATCCCCAGAGGCCTGAGGTGAACCTCCAAAGGGTAGGGAGGGCTGGCATTTGACTGTCAGGAGTGAATCCTTAGCCGGGTTGTGGGATGTGATCAGTAAATTGAGCGCCATTCACTTTAAGTGCCTTTTTAGATGGTTAACCAAAACTGCTGTTCTACAATTAAGACCCCAGACTAACCAATCCCTTCAGGCCTCCACAGTGCAGAAAACACTCTAGTAAAGCAGAGGCTGGCACTGTGCAGTAGAACAACAGCTGAATACAGATGTGCATGAGATCTTCCCTGGGAGAGACACCAGAATTGTTCCTGAGTCCATGCCATCTCCTGGCACATCCAGCAGTCATAGGGTTCTTCTCCCCAGATAGTTCCAGACTCCACCTGGGTCCACATGTGGCCTCCTGTAGGCTCAAGGCCTAATGCGCTCCTTCAACCTTGTACATGCCACCCACAGGCTAGGCCTGGGGGCGGACTGCCCTGAGTATTTATGTACTCCCCCAGCATGCACCACTCGCCGTGAAACCCCTAGTAGTTGGCTAGTGAGACATAGACACTCCTGATGTTCCCCTATTGGCTGCCCTACTCTGTGGCAGGGTCACACTCCACTCACAGGCAGGTGCAACACCTAGAATTAACCAGATGATACCAGACTACAAATCGGCCAGCCTGATTACAATCCTAGGAACACTAGATTTTAGTAGCCACTCCACTTAGGGTGGTAAGGGCTACATGTGGAAGAGCAGGTCACAGTGGTGGGTGGAAGCACCCATAAGAATCTTTTACATTTTATGTCTTCCAATGGTGGGATTATCCCACTTCAGTGCCACATCTACCTACCCAGGCAAGGAGTCTAGTGTCCACCCTCCTGCTTAATGAAGAATACATTGGTAAGAGTGAGATGCTGTAGTAATGGCCATGACAGGAAAGTAGAGCTGTGAACTGAGATACCCTCAACCAAAGTTTCATTGCGATGTAAATCAGCCTACTAACAGTTGATTCAACCTTCTGGCATCTATGCAGAACTGAAATATCCACTTCTTTTGGATCTTGAAGGCATACATGTTATGTGGATTCATGCTGATTTAGGAAACTTTTGTATCTAGCCAATTGAACATTTACTAGCACATACACATTATTGAGCTGTCACACGTATTTCTGCTTTTCTTTTTCAGTTCATCCTTGATTGATTTACTCAGTGGCAAGTGCTGAAAATGTAAACCATACATTTTGTCAGATTGTTTATGTGCCGTATGTATTAAGCACACAGAAAATCTGAAAGGAAGGCATAATGACAGCAGCGTTTAGAAAAAGATACAATGAACAAAATACTCAATAAAGAAAAGAAAATATTTGTGGCACAAGCTGAGAAAATATTTACTTAATAAGCGGCACAGAGCAGTCCTTTGATATCAACCGGTAAATATTTTTTCAGCTTTTATTGATCTGGTAAACCTCCATCATTCTTACTGGTCTTCACAATAGGCTCTGCCCTTTAGGCATCCATTTTGAAGCATTGCAAAAAAGGGAAGCAATATTTTCTACTAATTTATCATTTGTTTTCCTTACAGGGACACAACGACTTACAACATTTACAAGCTGGCTTAAGAAGAAGGGTGTAATGACAGAGAAAGATGTTAAAGTATTTGTACATTGTGAGAAAAGAAGATACCAAACTGCTCTATAAAATCAGCTGCTGGTTCCCACAGGCTGTGAATCATGTTGAGTCTCAGCAACCTACCTGCCTGTGCTTAAAGCTGAACTCCAGGCAAACAGCTGAATGCAGTTAAATTCATGTAGGGGGGTTTTCTTGCATGCCAAAGGATTTGTATTTGTGCCCACCTAATCCTGAGAATTACACAGCCGGTCTGCTGACCCTACATTTTTCTGCTGCAGTTAAACAACACAGCTAGGCCACCTCCCTGCCTCTGAATGGGTAGTGAAGGAGCAGCAGCAGACTGATAAGGTAATATACTCTCTGCTCTCATTATTTTCCTTGTCTGCAGATGTGTATGCAGGACACCTGGTTGGCTATGGATGCTCCCCTACCTTTCCCAGTCTAAGTGATTTGAAATGAAAGTGAATCTTTTTTGATGTACGTTTGACATCTTGCCCCACTGCGTTCACTTTTCTTAAGCAAATCATTTTTTTTTTCAAAGTTTCTTTCATTGAGATCCTGCCAGTAACAGCACTTTATTTTTCAGGCTGACAAGGCTAAGCCGCTGCCTGCAATTAGTAGACATGTGTGGACTCATTTTCTGAAATGTGGGCATTCAGACACATCCGATTTTCCAAATCCCAATGCACCGCAATATGTCCGAATTCGAATTTCCGTTTCTGAATTTCGGAACCTGTCTGAATTTTCGTTCACAAACGAAACTAAATCGGACATGTGCCATTTCTGGCCAATTAGATGTGTTTTTAGCTTTAATGTATCCGAATGGGTCTGAACACGAATTTTCAATATATACATATATATATATATATTGTGGCAGTGTAAGCCAATGCCACGGTGGAGGATGGCGACCTTGGTACCCAGGACTCTCAGCCAAAGGGGCTGAGAGGGTCCAGAAAGTAAAGCATGGTATAAGGAAGAACCTGGCTTTTCAGGTTATTCCAGGTTTTCCTATTTGCAGCTGGGATCTGGAGCTCTGGAGATTTCGTAGAGCTCTGGGTGGGATGAGATCTCCAGTCCTGGGGCCAGGTGTTGCCATTGACCAGCCTGGGCTAATCAGGTGGCTGAGAGCAGCCTTATCAGGAAGCCAGCCCAGTGCTCAGGGGAGTGTTGGAGTTGTGTGGGTGCAGGAAGCACAAAGCCACAGCAGACTCAGGTGCGTGTGGGACACATGGAACAGCCATGGAAGGCTGGGAGAGGTCAGGAAGGTCGGTGACCCTAGGACCTGCGGTACAGACTGCTAAGAGAGCAGAGTGAGGGCTCACGAGGGGTGAGCAGCATGAGTGTCTTGAAGCTGAGGAAAGCTACAGAGCCATAACAAGGACTGTCTTATGTTGCTGTTTCAAGCTATTTTGTGTTTGCCCTTTTAATAAACTGCATTCTACTTGATTTACCTGGACTACAGTGGAGTGTCCCTGTTACAATATATATATACACACATATATTACTAAAGCTGAGGCTCCTAGACCTGAAGACATTTAGGATCCAAATCTCCGAATTGCATTTGGGAGCTCAGCTCAGCTTTAGTAATATATGTATATGGCTTCCAGACCCGAATGGCATTCGGGAGCTCCTGAATGCAATTCGGAAATTCGGATCCTGAATGTCATTGAGATTCAGCTTTAGTATTAATATCTGTATATGGTTTTCTGTGGTAGTCGTAACGAATATTTGTTCGGAAATTTATCCGAAACTGATGTAAATTCGGATTTTGTCCGAATCTGAAACCCCAAACCAAATGAAATCTCCGAACCGGATCTTTCCGCAGCTTACATCTCTAGCAATTAGTAGCAGCATTGACAGTCTGCAATGTTCACCTTGACCATCGTCATCATGAGCTTCTTCAGTTGGCCATTGGGCTGTGTATCTGATAGGCCTGATAGGCAGTCCAACTGAAATGTTAGGGGTTATATATAGTTTACCTCAAATTCAGGAATTTACACACATTGGAGTCAATTCACAAAGCTTATTTTCTTCATTTCGGCCGTTATTTCATTGATATCGCTTGTTATATAGTTGCTGTTTAGAGGTAGTCAATTCACAAAACTCAATAACGCTTCCTTTTTTTAAGAAGTGCTAAATTAACTATCCAGACGTTATTTTAACTATTCAGACGTTATTTTAACAACTGGAGTGATAAAATATGCTTGAAATGCAATTCACAAAAGCAAAAAGGTCCTTTTATCACTCGTTATTGAGACGTAGATTTATCACCTCCTTCAGGGTGGCGTTATGACAGATTTCAGTCGTTATCTGATACTTGTTGCACTGAGATGACATGAGGTATATAAAATGGAACCTTTTTTCTTAATTTTCACATGGTTTAATGCTTTTGCGTACAGAAGAAGATGGCATGTAGCTGTCATTTCTACAGTTTTTATCCTTCTACAAATGTAGATGATTTTTTACAGTTTGAGGTTAGTGGCAAATCTCACATGACATGAAAAATCAAATGTCCCTGGACACACTTCAGTGGGGGTTGTAGAGCAAGTGGAATGTTCCATGCAACATATTTAATATCAAGACAAGCTTTATAGGTGGTAAGGAGAATTGCTTGCTCTCCCTACACTGCCTGATTGTCAACAGATGTAGATCTAAATAAATCTAATGTTTCATATATTCATTCCGTTCAGAAAAAAAGTTATTGTTATTTCTATATGATTTCTTCTCTACCAAATGTAAAATTAGTATGCATGTGGTGAATATGGAATATATTCCTTCTATGTGGAATCCTTTTGTGTGGTGAAAGTGAAAGTAACAGTAATTTAGGCATCTGCTCCACCCCTTATGCTACCAAAATGCACTGCAAAAGTGTTAAAACAACACCCAAAACGTTATTTTATCACAGCAATAGATAAAATAAAGTCTGTGATGTTAAAATAACACTTGCTTAAGGAACGTTAAACTGCGTGTGCATTAACGATTCCGGCTTTTGTGAATTGCATGTTTCAGCCAGTAAAATAAAGAGTGGTAAAATAAGGATAGATACATTAACTTCTACTCTCATAACGCTGAGCTTTGTGAATTGACCCCATTGCATTTAAAATACAGTCAAGGATGTTTATGAACAGATAACTGTAATTATTCCACCTTAAAGAAAGCCTATAATGAGAGAAACACGCAGGATACCGTTGCTGACCTCCTTCTGAAAATGATGGTTGCCTGTCTGTCTCTGGCTTTCTGGGTCGCTGGTCAGTAAGAAAGTCCGGGTGAAGTCACAGCTCCTAATCTGCATACTTGTTCTAGATCAGAAAATACTAAGGAAATACTGAAGTCACTGGATCATCAGGACAGTCATAGAAATAGCATTTTCCTCCATACAGGTTTATTTTAAACTACTTCAATAGATATACAGATGTGTGGTTCTTGTGCAATTGTTTCTGAAGGAAAGGAAGCAAATAACATTACTGGAAAAACTGGCACTGGACTGTTTCAGGGGAAAACAATAGCAGTCAGCCAGCTAAATCCAATGAGCTGATCAAACACCCTCAGGAGCCAACATTGGCCCATGGACATCATGTTGTGCAATCATGCAGTACCTCAAATTGTTCTTGCCTGGAAAACGGCTTTTCATAGAAATATTTAGAGCTTTTGTACTTTTTGTAAACATTTTTTTATTACAGTAAGGACTAAAAAAAAAAAATACTTTATTTCTTCGGTACAGTAAACCTAGCATATTGACATCTTTCATAGGTTTCAGGGACAAACAACTGCAAGCGTAAAGTTATAAGTTATGGTGAAGGTGCAGCCTTTCATGTGTTTTCCCAGAAGTGGTAATATACTAGCTATTCATACAGCATATGTGAATATAAACCATATCCTGCTCTTGGTTTACCATTTACACTAGGTGTTGATAATGAAGACGATTAATGAAACAGGCATTTAAGATGAATTATTTCAAAAGTTTTATTTCAAAAGTCTAACCACTCATCTTTGTTACAATACATCCAATCTGGAACAATGTGAGATGCTACAATGCAGAGAACATACAGGTGCCAATGGCTGGCAGCTCCCATTGAATGCAATCTCTGTCCCCTGGCTATTCAGAGTGACTTTCTTGGCTTTATGGTCATTGCATATATTAATCACGTCAACAAGCTCCATTCCAAACGCTTGGTTGTTCCTGTTGCCACGTGCTGCTGGCAGTGAAGGTTAATGTGTGAGTAAACTCTTGATTCGTTGAGTTTTCCATACAGCCTGGAGAGGTGTGTATAACTCATGCAGGATACATCTGATGGTCCAGGACTGCAGCTTTAACTCGCGCCCTATGTTGGATGATCTGCGCAGTGGATGGAGCAGTAAAAAAGAACTTTCAACAGTCTACGGTCAGCATTCTAAAATCAGGCACCTCCTAAAGTCCAAACGGTTAGTACAGTTAAAATGGCAGAAGTTATACTAGAAAGGTGATAAAAAACTTTTCTGTGACCAGCAGAAAAAGATCTTTTGTTAATGATTTTCATGGCTTTGTTTGGAAAAGCTGTGTGAGGAGATGAAGAATGGATATGGCGTCAGTTACTGCACATTCAACTGGACATACGGTGGCAGTACTGGATTATATATGGCACATACAGGAGGGAAGATATGGATAGTGGCATTACAAACTCCAAGCCATCGGCATGGAGACTGGGATGCTGCATGCCTTATTGTGGCACATGCCACCAACATTTAATGACAGTGAACAGGAAAGTTCCATTGACGAAGCCAGGTCCAGTAATAGGAAGATTTGTGTATACTGGCTAGAACCTGGTCAATAAAGTGAATGTGTGCTTCCTTTGTAGTGATCACCCTTTCACAATCATTCCTTTAAGTCTCAAAATACTTGTAGATCTGAGACACGTAGTTCATCACACTCTGCCAATCAGGACGGTCTGTGAACATCAATTCATTCAGGTCCTGTAAGGAAACAAAATAAGCATGTTATAGACATAGGATAGCAAGATTAAGTGCCTACCTCCTCCAGTATGTATAGTCCTGTTCACTTACACGTAGTACAGTAATATATAGTAAAAGCAGTCATTCTCCACCAGGGATACATAGAACCCTAGGATTCCTTCAAAGGTTGCTAGAGTTTCCTTGAGCTGTGGCTGATTGACCTCCACATCTAATGGTGCCTGCATAAATCTGGGTCCAACCCCACTTGATAAAGCCAGCGCCATGACACTAGTGATCTTTTTAGATGTTTGTAAGGGTGGCAGTCTAACCACTACTGTAAAGCAGGCATTCTTTCTACTGATATGGGCATTTTTCTCACTGACCCCTGAAGAATGAATTTTAGCAGGGGTTTGCTGACACCTAAAGGTTATTTAACAGGTTTTTCTGGTGAAGCACATTCCCTGCTTCATCAGCTTTTTTGGGGTACCTAGGTGACATTAGGGGTCTAATACATGGCTGATGTCTCCATAAAGAGGACATGTCGTTGTATCTGTGCTATCACGTAGGGGGCATGTTATCCCCCTATGTAAGAGTAATAATGTTAAGTGTAAAAAAAAAAAAAAATTTACACAAAATGTAAGGCTTGAAAATCTGGTATCTATTTACCCAACTATTGGGTAATAATAAATATTTTCTAACAATGTAAGGAAAATGTTTTTTCTCCCAACTTTTTAGTACTATTTTCTAGTATATATAGTATAGTATAGTATATAGTAAAAAGAAATAAAAAAAAAAACAGTGGTGATTAAATATCACCACTCTATCTGTCCCCAAAAAAATTATCTAAAATTAATTTTGGTACGGTGCTGCATGGCTGAATAAGCATCAGTTGAAATACTGGAAATGGCCTGGACAGGAAGGTTTTAACACCCGGCCTTCAAGTCGGTAAAGAAAACCTATAATGTGGGAAATATGGCATACGGGAGTCATCGTTAGTTAAAACATGCTAGTTGCCCAGATGTCACTCACATGCAACAAAAACTCAGCAGGTGAAATCAGAATTTCAGATCTGCATACTTGTTCCAGGTCACAGATTAAGTATTTAAGCTGCTAAATAACCATGACAGCCAGACAATTAGCATTTTCAGCTGTAATTAAGCAATGGAAGCCACCCACTTACCACTGTGTTCGTTTCACAGCAATTCGTTTCATGGATTTACAAAGCATGTCATACTTTGCTATACAAGACATAGCAAAAATGATTATGTGCAAAGTGACAATGGGGTCAATTCACAAAGCTCAGCGTTATGAGAGTAGAAGTTAATTTATCTATCCTTATTTTAATACTCGGTATTTTGCTTGCTGAAACATGCAATTCACGAAAGTTGGATTCGTGAATGCACACGCAGTTTAACGTTCCTTAAACAAGTGTTATTTTAGCATCACAGACTTTATTTTATCTATTACTGTGATAAAATAACGTTTTGGGTGTTAACACTTTTGCAGTGCATTTTGGTAGCAGATGCCTAGATGACTGTTACTTTCACCACACAAAAGAATTCCACATATAAGTAAATAAATATATTCCATATTCGCCACATGCATACTACTTTTTAATTTAGTAGAGAAGACATCATATAGAAATAACAATAAAAAAATTTCTGGACGAAATGAATATGTGAAACAGTAGATTTATTTAGATCTATATCTGTTGACAATGAGACGGTGTAGGGAGAACAGGCAATTCTCCTGACCATCTAAAACCTGTTTTGATATTAAATTTGTTGCATGGAACAATCCACATGCTCTACAACCCCACTGAAGGGTGTCCAGGGACATTTGATTTTTCGTGTCATGTGAGATTTGCCACTAACATCTAACTGTAAAAAATCATCCACATTTGTAAAAGGATAAAAGCTGTAGAAATGACAAATACATGCTGCCTTCTTCTTCTGTACGCAAAAGCATTAAGCCATGTGAAAATTAAGAAAAAAGGTTCCATTTCTATCTACCTCACGTCATCTCAGTGCAACAAGCATCAGATAACGCTTGAAATCTGTCATAACGCCACCCTGAAGGTGGTGATAAATCTACGTCTCAATAACAAGTGATAAAAGGACCTTTTGTGAATTGCATTTCAAGCATATTTTATCACTCCAGTTGTTAAAATAACGTCTAAGTAACGTTTACTACTTCTTAAAAATAAGAAGCGTTATTGAGTTTTGTGAATTGAGTACCTTTACACAGCATCTATAGAACAAGCGAAATCAATGAAATAACGTCCGAAATGAAGAAAATAAGCTTTGTGAATTGACCCCAATGTCAAATAAGAACAGGTTCAGATTCCAACCTTTCATACATTGGTCAATGAAACATAAAATATGCCTAACCCTTATGTACTATTCTATAAACCCCAAAATATGCCATGTGTAGCAAAATTTGTGTACCTACCAGACTGGCCTTTATTCCTATACTTTCAGCAGCTTGAAATGCCAATTTTAGATTCCTCTGCTGCAAGACAAAAGGAGAAAATGTTAAAGAAAGATCAAATTTAATCTCCATAATTGTTGTTCTTTAAAGGACGTCACTGAATATTAAAAGAAAATGAATTTAAAAACACAGTTAAATTAGATATATAATATGATAAGAAAATGATAGAAGATACTGCAATTCCACCTACATAAGTCATCATTCTGAAAGTGAAGCATTACCAAAGTGCAACATTGTTTACAAAATGCACCATTATTATTTTTCATCACATGTGATTTATACTTTATAGTTTGTGGCCCCATAGCACCCAATTTTTGCTTGCCTTGAAGCAGTAGGATTTTGGGATCAATTACCAGTATGGAGTGGAGCTCCTTCTCTTGTCTGTAAAATAAGTTACCATTACTAGTAAGACATTTTTCCACTGACCTTCAATGTAAGGGACATTCTTCACACTGATCACTAATGTAAGGGGGCACTAAGCTGACCACCAAAGTAAGCGGGTCGGTCTTCATTTCTTTTCTGGACATTGTTATTATTTGATTCATTCTAATTTAGTGACTATTACTGAAAATAATTTTGTCAGAGAAGGGGGATTTTATTCATTTATTATTAGTGTATCTGCATGTCACTGAACATGCTAATATTTTTTAGCAAGGGGTTTCTTGAGACGAGAAAATTATTTTAAGGGTTCCTTCAGGTTAAAAAAGTCTGCTCTAAACAATCATTAAGAAATGAAGAGTATGGCACAACTATAAATCTGTGAAGGACAGACCACCGAAAAGGGAATCACTGCACAAGGAGACTAGTGAGGAAGGCCACCAGGAGACCTATGGCCACTGTGAAGGAGTTTAAAGCCTTAGTGGCTGAGACTGGAAAGACTATTTTAACAAATGCTGTCCAGGCATTTCACCACTCAGTTTTATAAGAGAGTGGCAAAGGTAAGCCACTGGTAACTTAAACTTACATGATATTTTGCCTACAGTTTGCCAGAAGTCACTTGGGAAACTGAGGAGACGGCTGTGTCCTTTTTTTGTTTGTTTGTTTCTTCAGGAATAAAGAAGGCAGGACATGTGGAAATGTGCATGCATTGAAGATACATACTAAATATTTTTTTATTTTGCCTTGACGCTTTAAGTATGGATTAAATGTTATGTCTTCGTTATTGAAAATGAAGAGTTTGTATTACTTTTTCACCTATTTCTGAGAATTGCCATAGATAGACGTATTCAAGTGTTTGTTTTCATTAGTGAAAGGACAATGTCAGGGAGCTGGCTTTCATTTTGGCATATTTAGAGATCAATCTCATTCTAGTTCACAGGTAAGTTCAGTAATTCTAATGGTACAATCTAAGTGCAATCAAACAGATGAGTCAGTAAGGAAATAAGAAAAATGATTGTGTTGCCTTAGCTCAATTCTCTGTTTCTGATGTTACTTTCCTTGACATCCCAGAGACGACACATTCACAGTTCTGAAATGTGGCAATCGGTTGATTTGTGAAAAGAAAAATTATTCTTTCCAAGAACCCATCATTATTTGAACGTGTATTTCAGTCATACTGCACTGTTTTTATTGAGCATCGGAGTCTCATGTACGAAATAGACCTGCTGTAATTGCAGAAGGTTCCAAGCCATAGTGACCCTAAGTTTAGATTTGTATGCCTGACTGCCATATTTTTCCTCTTCAGCTGATTAAGTGACAGAATGTTCATAAAGCATCCTGGCGCCTGTGATGTTGAGGGTAGACATACAGAGTAGACTGTGGTATTAATCACTTACAATAATGGACAGAATTTGTGTAACATTGCAGTGTTGGTGCGAGTCTATTAAATTGCTTTATGAATAAGTTCAGTACCATTGCCCAGTTCCAATAACTGGAAATCCCTGCTGTGAACTATATTATGTGTTGTTGAAGTAGTTGATGAAATATATAGCACGATATCATGTGTGGACCTTGCAAAGTGAACTGCAATACCTGTACAAACCTATTATAGCTCTCCTGCTCTGAGCCAATTTAAATTACACACACAGATGTAGACTGGTATGTTTTATATTCCAGAAAAAATAGCCACTGAATTTCCCAATGACTAACAAAGGAAGGTTAATGTGACCGCAGCAATTCTCATCAAATAAACAATACAAACATTCCCTTGCACTCAACCCTAATAAAAAGCAAAGGGCACCCAATTAAATTCTGCTTTTAATATATGTGTGGAAGCCACACAGCCACAAAGACACCTCTGTGAATTGTGGTCATTGTGACGAACTAGGAGCGCAGAGAGAATACACAGAGGCAAATCACACGGAACCCGGCGTGCGGGGTGTTTATTGGGGAATTCAGGTGTACAAAGCAAGGTACAAAGGCCGGGGTTAGGTCCTGGGGGGTTGCAGGCCACGGGGAGGGTCCATCAAGAAGGTAAGGAAGGAGTAGATCCAGAGTCACAAGGCTAGTAGTCCAGGGGTCAGAGGTGCAGCAAGAGGTAATCCAACAGGTAACAAGGCACCGTGTGAGTACATCCAGTACGGGTAAAACAACAGATCCCAGCAGTCCTCACAGCAGCAGTGGAGCAGAACAGGAAGGGTTAAGTCCGTATCCCTTGAATCCACAGAGACCGGCCTCAGCGCAGCCTCTAGTCAACCATTCAGCGAGGAAGAGAGCATGCAGCCTTCCCACAAACACTTACAAAGGTCCCGGGAGGGGCCGGCCTGAGAGGGGAGGGAAGGGGCAGTACACAGGCTGTTGCTGAGCAACTAACCCCCTCCCCCTCAACAGCAGACATGTCCTGACTTGTCTCGGTGCCCAGTGTGTAGGCCCTCTGCTGTTTTGATTTGCAGACTTCTGCCTTTGAAAGTCAACAGGAGGTGGGGAGGATTGGAGAGCAGAGAAATGATCTCAGGAGCCCCCCTCTCTACAATCCCTCCCCCCCTTTTGAACATGTACCAGCCAGGGGTCCTTTAGCTTCCCAATCTTGCTGCCTTTTTTGTGCCTTCTCAATGGCTGCAAGTTTCCTTTCTGGTGTTGCATCCTCCCCCAGAATGGCCATCTCTTCCTCATACCAGACAACCCACGGGCTCTTACTGGCAGGAACGGGGAGCCATGGCACCTCTTCCCTGGGATGTGATCGAACAATGTCAGCACCTAGCTCTCCATGCTGGCCGGCTTCCTCTAGCAACCTGACCAGCTGTTCCTTAGAAAGTCCCTTGTAGCCGAGACCCAACTCCCTGGCCTTCTCCTGTAGACTGCTGACAGTCCAATTGTGGTATTGTGGGGCACCCATTGTGTCCCTGCTGTGTAGGCTCTCATCTGCCATCTCCTGTGCTCTCGTCCCGCCGCTGCCAACCAGTTGTGACGAACTAGGAGCGCAGAGAGAATACACAGAGGCAAATCACACGGAACCCGGTGTGCGGGGTGTTTATTGGGGAATTCAGGTGTACAAAGCAAGGTACAAAGGCTGGGGTTAGGTCCTGGGGGGTTGCAGGCCACGGGGAGGGTCCATCAAGAAGGTAAGGAAGGAGTAGATCCAGAGTCACAAGGCTAGTAGTCCAGGGGTCAGAGGTGCAGCAAGAGGTAATCCAACAGGTAACAAGGCACCGTGTGAGTACATCCAGTACGGGTAAAACAACAGATCCCAGCAGTCCTCACAGCAGCAGTGGAGCAGAACAGGAAGGGTTAAGTCCGTATCCCTTGAATCCACAGACAGAGACCGGCCTCAGCGCAGCCTCTAGTCAACCATTCAGCGAGGAAGAGAGCATGCAGCCTTCACACAAACACTTACAAAGGTCCCGGAAGGGGCTGGCCTGAGAGGGGAGAGGAGGGGCAGTACACAGGCTGTTGCTGAGCAACTAACCCCCTCCCCTCATGTGTCCTTTGTTCTGGGGAGGATTGAATGGAGGGAAACAGCAGACATGTCCTGGCTTGTCTCGGTGCCCAGTGTGTAGGCCCTCTGCTGTTTTGATTTGCGGACTTCTGCCTTTGAAAGTCAACAGGAGGTGGGGAGGATTGGAGAGCAGAGAAATGATCTCAGGAGCCCCCCTCTCTACAGTCATACCCTAATCACCAACACTGGGGCTTATATAGCAATGAACAAGTATAAAGTCATATACACATACACATAGCTAGGTCATACACCTACACGTACCAACAATCAGTAAGATGTCTCATGTATGAAGCAAACACAGCAAAAAAGAGAAAATGGCAGCTACTTAGTTTCAGTTTAGCAAAGGAGCACTGGGCTGGGACAATTTACAACATCAGAAACATGTAACCAGCAAACAGAATCAACTAAAACCTGTTGTTCACATTGGAATACATAAATCTAATTTGCATAACCTTGGCACCACAAGGGGGTGCATTCACACCTGAATCAGAGCAAACAACACGAGTCAATGGAGGTACATTGACTTAAGTTTGGATAGTGCGTTGACATCCGTTGCATTGTGTTAATTTTTGGAGGGTTTTGTTTGATTTTTCTACATTAAGCTATATAAGGTATTGGTTATGCCTTGCATTAACAAGTGTTAGCAGTTCACACCAGTCCGTTACATTGTGTTGCACTGAAAAAATGTAGAGCCTGCTCTACATTTTTTTTCAGTGGAGGGCAGCGCAGCTCAAAGCACTGGCGTGAACTGCTCCCATTCAAACCCATTCATTTTTCGATGTCCTTGTATTGGCATCCATTGAAAAATGGACTCGAATGCATCGGGTGTGAATAGGGCCTAAATACGCATCGACTGGAGCAAAGCTTAAAAGCTGGTACAGAAACCTAATTTTAAAAACTTTGCTTTCATCAGCCCACTAGTGATATTTTATGCTGTGCACAAGAAAAAGAAATGATGTTTGTGAAGATCTAAGTATGCCATTAATTACGATTTACAGAAAGCGATTAAGAAATAAGGCTGGGCATGTGTCATATGTATCAACAAGCATGTCATATGGTGAGACGTTTGCCTACCCACTAACTTGGTCAATTGATGGATGAATGGATGTTGCACATGTGTGCTGACAGTCCTTTTCTCTACTTTCCATAGAAAAGAGAACAATCAGTGCCCACTTGCATGAATAATATTCAAAGGTTACAAGTTAGAAAATCTCTGTGTGCAGTAATGAGAAACCTGATGGGACTTATCGGAAAGAACATATACTGCATTGGATGAATGAAAACTGATAACTGATTCTTATTTGGATAAGATTATTTGTTTAAATCAACTGCAATCAAGTACTATAGTAGTATAGAACACAGTACTTAGATTTTTGTGCTTAATTGTCGTTTATGTGATGACAAATATTTGAACACAATTCTTATGAGAATTGACACATTCCCCTGCCGGTTAAAGCCACACTATGGTAAAGCGTGAAATGGTGAAAGGAAGCCCAGTGGGTCTGTGACATGCTGCTACTTGTAGAAGTTGGACACCTGTTTCCTGGAGTGTGTTGTATGTCCAATCCCCTGCAGTGCTGGCGTGACTTGCCAAGGGTGTGTTAACTACTAAACTTAAACTGGCTGGTGGATTTTAATTACTTCTGTCACACATATTAGAGCATATTAACAGTAGAGAGAAAACATTGGATTCCATAGGTAATACACTATATTTCTAAAGCATACAAAATGCAAAGGGATTTGGTCAGTCACAAAACAAGATAACATGGGAACTCTGCCTTCTCCTAATGGAAATGAAAACATCCCATCTTTCTTCACCTTACCTGGTAAACACTTTTGTAGTGATCATAAGTTATTTTGATCACAGAGTCGAGATCTGAACATCAATATTGGTGAATTTAACCCGTTTCTGTTGGAAAAGTCCACCTAAAACGGATACCATGGTGCTGTGTGGTATCTGGCATGCTGAATTACTTGTTGCCTTTTATTAAGCACAATATTACCATTAGCATTCCTATTTCTGCTGAGTATTGCTGTCGAGGCAAAGCCACGGGACAGTGTCCTGCTATCCAGATGAGTCCGCCATAATTTCTAATAACAAATAACCAGGGAGTTTCTCCAATTACCAATAGAGTCTTGGAGAAATTGAAGAAGATAGCAGCTCATTCAACCCATTGGTGCCCACTCAAACTTAAATTTCAGTAGCCCTCCTTTAGATGCTAAAATCATGGGACAAAGGTAGCCCTTGAGAAAGTAGTGAAAATCAATTTACATGGAGCTGTGTGTAAATAAATATTGTGTGGCTAAGAGGTCAGGATGCTGTTAAGCTGTTAGCTTTTGGTCATCATTCTGCTAATCTAAAAATGGAATTAAATACTGCAATAGAATTGGACTTAGTTTTTATGGGGGTACTTTCTTTAGCAATAAATAGGGTTAGAATTATGAGGATTTTGGAAGTTGCGAAGTTCAAGCGTGATATTATTTGTGTAATTTCAGGTTAATCAGAAAAGGCTGAATATTCCACCAAAAATGCTTGACTTATAATGTCATAGGGTACCCACAGATATACAATTATTTTTCCAGTCTCACCAGACTCTGGAGATAATCATATTATGGCCATAAATATCTTATTCTACAGCATAAAGGAATACAGAAGCAGCAACTGTCTCTAACTCATGGAGCACAATCATACTCAATAGCCACAAAAGCTTGTTCTGCTCCTGCAAAAGAAAGCATTGAAGCCTTTGGATAAACCTAACAGCTGGACAAACTATTTTTTAAGTCTAAAATCACTGTCTATGAACAGGTTCAGCATAGGTTTAGGCCTTCAGAATGCATACATGGAACACAAACTACCTGCTTAGTACTTTACTTTTGTCCAGGCTTCACTGCACTATGCCAGTTCACTCCAGTACCTTTTATCAATAAACAGGACATACGAGAACTCCTGCTTGTAGCATATATTCAAACATACCCACTGCAGCTTCCTTTCTGATTTCCTCTTCTTGTATGCCACTTTTAGAGCTGCATAGAGAAGTTCCTATTGCGTTATACTGTGTAATTAGTACAGGACAAATTGACTGGCAGAAAAAGCTCTCTCAAGTGTCTGTAACAGAGCTTTGCTGTTCTTGGGTTGGATTGACAACTCGGTGATAATATTTGGTTGATATTTATTAGTTTACCTCTAATGTTCTATAACACATTATCGCACCACTAGAAGTATGACTGATGCAAAATATTTGCTATGGGACGCTGATTTCTAGCTGAGATGAAAAGCGCATGATTTCACCTTACTTCCTGTTTTGATGGTGCCACCTGAGAGAAAGTGATGGCACTTCTCTTCAACTGTCACAAGCAGCAATATTTCTTTTAGCTGAGGCTATGATGTACATACTGACAATTCTGCCAGTGGTGACACCACATATTCTCTCTAATCGAAATCACTACCTCACTGGCCAAAAAGCTACAGAGGGAGCAGCGACTAAGTGACGTCTCTCTGGTTTTGGCAGTGACACTATAGAAGTTGATTCTGTGCAAGTCTGCACCCGTCAAGCTGTCACCAGAAACAGAATTGCTACCCTGACATGGGACTAGGGGTCAGAACCTCGATCAGTTTAAAAAAAAATAAAAAATTAAAACCAAGTTGTATATAAGTGTACATAGTCCATATGTGTCAACTGAGATTCCAACTATTCCTATTTCTAGGGACACTTACAGGGTTATTCACTAAAGGGTGAAGGGTTTGGAGAAGGCAGGAGAAGTGAACAATCTAGGACAACATAGTGGATTTGGAAAAATTCACCAATTCAGCTCACATTCCAGATCAGCTATGTTGTCCTAGATTGTTCACTTCTCCTGCCTTCTCCAAGTTCTTCACCCTTTTGTGAATAACCCTGTTAATTTTGTTTTCCTGCCCTGGAAAAGTTTTGTCTTCTTCAGACCAGATGGAAATGTTAACTCAATGTTCAATACTATGTGCGCTATTCATTTCTTATTTTTTATATCTTAAATATAAACACAAAATAATAATAATAAAATAATAACACAAAATATACAGTATACATGATGCTAAAAAAGTTTGGCTTTTCTCTAATATAAAATTATTAAAAAATGCAATGCACAAAAATACAAGTTAGTAAAAAAAATATTAACAATTTAAAAGTACAAAATATAAAGATATACTTAAAGGCTACTGCCTGCTTTTTAACTCATTTAGTTATCCTTTGTTAGAGGTAGCACACTTCCAACTCACAGGCTTTTGAGGTTCCATACATACTGTAGATGGGCAAATGCACAAGCATCTACATGTATTCCTCCAGTTACCTAAAGCAGCTGTAGGATTTATTTATCTGCTCAAAGGGGTACTATAAATAATTTTAAATCCGACTCTGCAACGCACAGGGTACACATCTTTTAGTTAGAAAATATTACCTCTAAAGCACACCTCCTCGAGGGCAAAAATTGTGTTTAATTTCCATTAAGCATTTAATTACATTGGTACCAGCCTGCGGGCAGCATTTTATTAAAAAATAAAAAGGTGTATCGATGTTTGGTCAGGGATGGTATAAAAAGACCTCCACATTTTTTTTTGGTTACACAGCTGCTTTGTTTCTTAACATTTTATTAAGATCTCTTTTTGTTCTGTCTGTGTAAGAAGATAGGTACAGTATTACATAAACAAGCTTTGAAGGGAATTGTAAGAATACACTAGTGGAATCATGACGTCAGAGACTGATAAAACTCAAGGAACTTATAAAACAATAAAAAAAACACAAACAAACCAGTATTAACTTGTATACCGATAAAACCACATACAATTCAGAACAGAATTATTTAATTCAGTCACTGCAACTTTTGCATACTCACAATGTTCTTAAGCAAAACAGAGAAAATAGAAGGCAATATAACCTTTGAAATTGCTTTTTTGTGCCAAGTTCAGTTTTGCCAGTGATGCTTCAAAGACAGCTCTATTAACATACTTCAATAGTCTGATCTACTATGTCCTTCCTTCACAGAGATCTTTAATATGTAGCAGGCACAGAACGGCATTGCCTCTCTTTAAAATGTCAGTACAGTAAGTCCCCTACATACAGACATTCAAGTTGCGAACGTTCAGAGATGAAAACATGTGTTCGCATGTCCAATCATGCAAGTTAGTTCTGGCGTATACTGTATAGAGTACAGTATATTTATTTCAAGCCCAGGATGTTAAAAGTAACAGTGATGTTGATGTAGCTGGGTACCTAGGCTAGCTTTGTTGGACGACTTACAAGCATATTGAGCCTACAAAAGCGCTCATGGAACGGAACCCGTCCATATGTAGGGGACTTACTGTTCTGCACTCTGATCTTTACAAGCTTCAATGGAAAGCCAATGTGCAGTATTCAACTGAAGGCAATGGAGGTTGTGTCACTCGTGCCGTGAGTGCAGTGTGATACAGAAAAGATTTTAAAGGAGGCCGTGGGGCCACGGGCAGAGTGCACAGCAGTGATCTCCTTGTAGCTGTACTTTTATATAACCTATTACTAAACCAGTCAACATTGGGATGACTAAAAGTGCACATGATAAGATCCAGTATTAGCTTATAGTATTAAAATCTCTCTACATCTGACTGTGTGAATAACTGCATGGTTTAGATTTTCACAGCATGATAAATGATAATGGCTGAATTGTTCTCATGGAAGACTAAGTACCTTGTCTTGGCTGTTGAGCTCGTGGTATGGTATATGAGCTGGCAGATAAGTGTGGAGAAGGGCACAGAAGGCCAAGCCATCGCTCCAACTGCTGCTGAAGTTTGTTATATCGATATTCTGTGAAAACACAAAAGCCTGATAATTAACACTGTATCCACAAAACAAAAAACACATTGAAGTGTTTTCTCTGGCTAGCTTTAACAACTGTTTTGTTGCAATGTCAAACTTAAAGTCTAATGAACAATTAATTACTGAAGTTGGCTAAGCCAAGTCATTCACAGCTTCCTGTATTTGCAGTTATTGGAATAATGCCGTGTTCTCTTTTCAAACATTATGAGCTCCTGCCAGCATACAATTCATCCCAACAACATAATGCCACAACCTCAGTGACCGATGACACAACCTCAGTGGTGGAATCAACTCAGAATTAAATTAACAGGCCAACTGGAAGATGTTTGTCAGTATCATAGGTTAAACATCTTATAGGTTAGTGGTTTGGGTTTTACTAGTTTCTGTAGAAACTAGAGTGAAGGAAACAAAAGTATAGTAGATATAGTAAGTTAAACAGTTGCTGCATTTTTATAACCTGGACCATAAAAGTGACAACCACAAACTAAACCTAAATGGGCCCGTCAGGGCTGAATTCTCCATTAGGTGAGTCATAGGGTTTCCTCCACAATTAGGATACCTCTCGAGTTAGAGGAGCTGTGCTACCACATTGTTGCTTGAAAATATATTTACCTCTCCATACATTATACTTCGGGCTGAGGAAGAGGGTATACTACACCCATGGGTTGAGTCAAATTCACCTAATTGATAAAACAATAAAATCTTACCATGTCTTCTATCTTGGAAAAAAATTTTAAGAAAAGTTGAATAAAAACTTTTATTTCACTAAATCCATGAGAGCTGAAATAACTACTGAAATTTTTTTTTGTTCAACTGCACTTGATCTTGTTGCTTAGCTGTATCTGGATTTAGTTTTTTGGTTAACTGTTTGCTAGAAAATCTAATGTTTGAAATCAAATGTGGCCTACACTAACTGAATAAGCCTGCTTGAAGGCACTTACTAACCACAATCACCAAATACCAACACAGGAAAAGAAGTGTACTGTAACAAACCATTATGTAAAATGCATCATTATAATGAATCATGTTTAGATACGGGCAAGAGCTCCCTTCACTGGGAAATGTTTATTGTCAAAATGAGGAAACCCATACATAACTAATAATAGTCTTTGTATTAAAGGGTATCTATGGTCAAAAACTAAAAATAAATCTGTATTCATATATCACATTTCCATAAGCTCTATCCCACTTCTAATAATCATATCCATCTAGAAGTTTGTAAACTTACTTACTGAAGATGTACTTCATGAATGCAGTAACACAATTTAACTTGGCCCCGTGAATATGCACTTCCCTGTGCCACGACTAACTAAGCCTGCCGTCTAAACTACAACTAAACATCTAAACAATGTAACATTAACATTGCTTTTTGGAAGCGATACATGATGGGATATGTAGTCTGGAGAAATTGAGATTGTATCACATGAAGCAGCAGGGAAATAGATGCAAAGCAAACTGGGAATCCAGAAGTTGTTGAAAGTGATGGGCAGGCAGAAGGCAGCGCTCACTACATAAGAGATTTTTTCATGTAAGCTTTGATATAAGGCTCCAGTATGTATACCTATCACAATACTGAGGTTATATCAGGGTAGTATATGCTGGGGCTTTAGAAATGCTTTAACAAGCGACTATATAATAACTGTGAATCAATCCAAGTAACCGTGTCAAATCGTGCACTGTTATCTCTTAGAAATTGTACAAATAAAACATTGATAAAAAGGGAAAAATAAGCAGCCCACGGGTAAAGTGAATAACAAACCTCAACTGAGCAATTCAAACCAAACTCAGCACAGTACATACACAGAGATTAGCTTTGGTGAAAACCGCATGCCAAAACAATCAGAAGTTTCAGATTTGTATCAGGTGACATTATATGCAAATCCTAACTTTTTCTGTAGAAGCTGAGCCGCACCCAACCCCCTGCTGCATCTTGTGCATCGATACTGATGCATTTCTATAATCAAATTCAGATCCAAATGTGAAATGTCAAAGTTTGCATATGGTTATGCAGCTGATGGCTTTTCACAAATATAATTATTTCATTTATATAACAAAACTTGTATTTGACTTTTCTTTCTTTATTAGAATGAACACAAATGACAACAATATTTTAGTAAATTATTACTAACAACTGGCAAATGTGCTCTACATCTATACATCCTCTACAAGGATCTATAGAGTACAATACATGCTATGCATCTCTTACAAAACTCTTATTGCTTGTAAAGGGAAGTCAAGAACTATGAGGGACTTTAGCAAACAAGAACGGCCTGATACCCATAGTGATTAGCTTCTGTCAATGTATTCCTAGCATTGGATTTTATCTCATCATTTTCAACTGATCCAGCTTAAATGAAATGAATTCCCAGGATGCCTGTGTCGATGCCAGAGTGATTACTGAAATAGCCCAGGTTCAGAGCAATGCATTCAGCTGCACATTTCTGTCTGAATCTCTTTGCCATCAGTTCAGGACCTGATTTTATTTCAGTAAGCAAACTGCATACATCTCTATATTGAATCCTTTAATATGGGCAAAACAGGCAGAAAGAAAGAAACATACAAAGCTATTTTACCGGTAGATCTATTGTAACGTTGAAAGCACAGTTTAGACCAGTGCTTCTCAAACTTTTTTCAGTCATGGCACACTTAAAAGTATGCACAATTTTGAGACATCCCAGTCAAAAATGCAAAAAGCTATGTGTGTTCCCTCCATAATCTATACCAGACTTTTCTCCAAGATGGCATGGATTTTAAGGGGGAACCATTTAACTTCAGCTACAGAGTGAGTGTTAAGCAAGCATGGGCAATGCACCCTGTAAAGCCCAATCTATAGGGGTTCAATTCCAGCACAGTTACAACAGATATTGGTCATCCATTGTTCTTTTACACCAATAAGTTCTGTTGGAAAAAAAAAGTCCTGTGTATTGCATTCTGAATGCATTCAAGTGCAGTTTTCTATTTAAGTCAATATAAATGGAGTCTTTACAAATCGTAACATAATGCATGTCAATGTAATGCACCTTCTCCAGACTGCATGTTTCAGCTGTTTCCTTAGATGTTCTATAGGTATCAGATCAGGGCTGTTAAAAGCCACTTTAGTGCAATATGTGTTTGTAGCCGTTCTTGGCTGCTTTTAGCTATGTGTTTTGGGTCATTATCCAATTTTACCTTCCACAGCCCCAAAACATAACTAAACCTTCTCCATGTTTCCTGTTTCCCAGTAGATATGGAGTGGGTTTTTTTTTTAAGCCTAATTTTTTTGGGGCTGTGAAAATGCCATACCATTTCTGAACTTCCATTTTGTCTCATAACTTTAAAGGGCATTCTCTCAGAAGCATTGTGGCTTCTCAATATGTATTTTAGAAAATTGTAGCCTGTTTTTTTTTTTTTCTT